CACATGTTTTTATGAATCTCTTCCTACAAAACACCCAGTGTGATTCTTATTATGACTGAACAGTGGTTTAGAGGCACCCCAGTACACCTGTATTACTCTCACCTTTTCACTTTCCAAGGCATTGGGCAGTTGAGTCACCTCATGATCCTTGTGCTCACCAAATAGTTTGTCAAAAGCTCGGATTGGTATCTTGCAGGTAGAACAAAAAACATTCGCCACTTCCTCCTCTTCCTCCTCCTCCTGCTCCTCACTGACAGCCTGACTGTTCCACTCATCTGACATGCCGCCACTTCTAAGCCCCTCTCTGGACCATCTGTTGCTCTCAACCTCATCATCTGCTCTGGTTTTGCTCTGATCTTCATCTTGAGAAGCCTCGCCAGGAAGTCCTTGTTGCTTTGTGCTTTGACTTTGATCTTTCACTGAAGTGCTGCTTTTTGATGCGTTATATGTGGAGCCTTGTGATCCTGCTTTTTTTGTGCGAGCAGGTGGCCATCTGCTCTCCATCTCCACACGTCCTCCAAGAAGCTCCAGCTCTTTTTCTTTATCCTCATCAAGTCCATACATCTTAGCCAGCTCTGCAACCTCCTTTTCCATGTCATAGCCAATTTCTTGTGAGCACTGAACTTTTTCACTACTCAATACAGATTCTCTTCTTGTATCCCCCAGAGATCTGTCTTCTCGACCAGACAGCTCTTCAGGAAAGATATCAAACCTCTCCTTTGATCCATAAAGATCCATGTGATAAAATATCAAACCTTCAGACTCAGTCTCACTAGACTCTGGGACTGGTGGGGAAGCTGAATGGCCACGTGACTGGCTACTAGTTTCATACTCTCTTGTGCTGCCAGATCTGGATGACATTGGTATCCTCAGCAAGGCTTTTGAGATGTCGAGTCTCAATCTTGTAAAAGATAAGAAAGATCTTTAGCTACATACTTAGATATAAAGCATGAGTTTTTCTTGCTTAAAAATATGTAGATGGAATAGTTTTGGCTGAGGACTGCCCAGGTCCTGGAGGTAGGCATAGGAAAGACCACAGACAGTAGCTTCACTTCCTGAGTGAAGCTTCTGAAGGGAAGCCATGGGAGGCTTATTTTTTTCTCACCTCTGTGCAAAGCACAGCAAAGAGCTGTCGCTGGTGTGCATCCTGTTTTCTGAGTGGCTCATCTGTTACCCTCATGCCTGATTTCCAAACTATGGACTAGCCCTGTCCTGAGCTCAACACTACAGCTGTGCTTCAGGCACAGTTAGTGCTGTTCTGTGCAATTGGAAATGGCCTGGTTTGAAGTCTGCTCACCCTTCAGCTGCTGTCAAGAGTGTTTTCTGAACTGTCAGTCAGGCATAATGTAGGACGTCCTCTCTTGTGACCAGTGATGCCACATAACACACTGGAAAATGCCTTGAAAAATCCTGTTCTGGATTTTTCAAGTTGCTATTCTTAATACTGAAATTTGAGTCCAGGTCTTGGGTCCTTTCTTTAAAATACTGCAGGGAAAACATAGTGCCTTTTGGAGGTGTTCACAGTTCTCAGGTGCTGTGAAAAATATATATTTTAACATAAAAGAAGCTCAGAAAAAATATCAATGATGGTCTCCATTATAAAGCACACAATAACTAGGGAGCAAGACAGGTCATTGACCTGTGAGCTGAGAAATGTCTGCTCTGACACGGACCTTGCACATTTTGTCCATTGTGTGCAATGAGGGATGTGTGAAAAGAGCACGTGGAGGTGACATACAAAGCTGTATGATAAAGCATATCCCAGATGCACGTGGGACAACATTAAAGGTGCAAAGGCAATTTTAATGCTGACTCTCCAAGCCCACTCTTTCCAACCAGCCTGTATTAACAACAGCAATGAAATAATGCCAGTATAGAGTCAGCTCTGTCAGAGCTGAAACCTTCCCACAGCTTTCCACTGCTCACCAGCATGAATGAAATCATGGCTACAAAACTACTCAGATCAGTTTTATCAGCAGTTTACTACCACAAGCAGAAGAGTTCATGGAAAGATTTCAGCTGAATATTAATGAACCTGTAGTTACATCTAGTCCTAGATAAGTGAAGCATATGAAAGCTTTAAAATCACTTTTTTGCTGAAAAATAAAAGTCAAAAGATCAGTCAGACACCAGTGTCATCAGAGCTTTTGGATAAGCTTTCTCACAAGTTTGCTTTCAAACTACTTTTTATGGTCTTTGTAGTTTTGAGTAGTTGCTATTACCTCAAATTTATTTCATCAGTATTTTACTAATTTTCCTGAGGATTACTTAGCTAACAAAGTCAACACAGTCAGAAACTTTTTATCAACACTTACTAGAAAACAACTTCTTGAACTAGTGGAAAATACCAAGAAACTTTGCACTCTCTGTTTTTATATTCCTGACTCAGTCCAGCCTTACAGATGTGTAAGAAAACCCACATAGAAGTTCACCGTTTATATTCTGGCACTGAAGACAAAGTGTGGATTCTACAGCTATAGCAATATCCTACTACAGACAAAAACACAGAAGTTAGGCAGAAATACCATTTATGCTAAAGGCAGTAAAATAAATCATGCAAATTCTAACATGTTAAACAGAGAAAAGGTCTTGACACATACCAGAAAATGTTGTCTGGCTCCCGCAAAGGCTTTTCCCACCATAATTATAACAGTAAGACTTGCTTTAGAAGCTACTACTAATTAGAAAAGTGAATTAACATGTATTTTTCCTACCAAAATGAAATAAAATAAAATAAATTAAAATGAGCATAATTAAGTTTGTCTGGAACCCTGCTGCCTAAATAAGATTTTCAGATGATTGCTCAGTGTTTGCTCAGTTTACAGGCACAGATACAATTACACGAAGCATGTTTAAGTCCGTGACCGTCAATTATCGTAAATATATAACAAAGAATGTTACTACCTAAAAACTTGCCTTCTATCTTAAGACGTCATAAATTCTTCTGATAGCTCAGATGGCATCAAAGTTCACTTCTATTTCCCCTAGTAAAAATTAATTCACACGAAAGCAATTCCTCGCCACTTTCCTATGACTGCAGTTGGAAGATGCATTGCAGTAACCCTAGCCTGCCTCTTTGCTCCGATAGGGACATGCCAGCAATGAGCAATGGCACAAATATAGATGTGCCCCGGCTGTCCTTCAGCAGTGTGCTACTTGAGTGTCACCAGGATGAATGTCATACACCAAGAAAAGGCTCTGAAGGTTGATTCCTGGATCTGAAGTACTTAGAATGGTTATAGAGAGCCCTCTCTAAAGCCAGAGCACCCTCTCACTTTCGGAGGTGGTATTAATAAACCCTGCAGAGTGCAGTCATTGCCTCTGGGTGTGATTTCCAAGGCTGGGCTGTTAGGCAGACTATCATGTATGGGATACACAGAGCCTGCATCCAGCACAAACTAACTCACGTGGCTGGACACATGCTTACAGCATTGCTGCACAACTACATGGAAGTGTCTGTTCTGTTCTCTGCAAACACTTACTGGCAAAGTCCTCTCTATTAAGTTAGCAGAAGCTTTACTATGGGACTGAGTTGGAATCATGATCATATATTAGAAAGAAATATTAAAATTCAGAATTTAGGAAAAAAATAGAAATCATACTGTTGCATATGCTTGTTATACATACACATACATCCCCACCCTATGTGTATGCCAGACCTCTGGAAAGCTAATTATAGTGAAGAAAGTGGTCAGTGGGTTTTCATGGGAATATATCCCTCCAGTCTACACTGAGTAGAGGTCCATATGATAAAAACCAGGCTGTGTATTAGCACTGATTATTGATTGCTGTAGCACTTGAGCTTTGTGTGTCTGCTCAAACCCACACACAGTCTGTTGCTTGTGAACATGCTACCAAGCCAGCCTTGCTGGCAGGAGGCTTTTAAGCACATTTGAGAACATTGCATTATATGTGTCTTGGGCTCAGGAGACAGCACAAGGGGAAACAATCTTGTCACAGCTCTCCTTTTTCCTCCTTTTCCAATTAAACTTGGTGTCATTTTCTCACATTCCTAGCAGTGCCATTGTTTGCTGTTTGATAAGGAATCACAAGTTAATTGCCCATGTAGGCACGATCTCATTACCACTAACAGCACCTTCATCATCTGTAAGATCAGAGCAGAAATGTTTTCACATAAATGATGCAGCCTCTGCTGAAATGTTAACATTTATGCTGTCTGACATCTTATTAATTTTTCAAATTAGAACTTATTTTTTCTTTGTATTACACTACACTATCTTGCAGGCCTTAATTTATTGAAAAATTAGCAGCGTCAGCTTCGCTGCCAAAGACTGGAACATAACATTCTGTGCACCATGAATTGCATTCAGCCTTGCACACAGGGCCTGAATAAGGGACAGACAACATATAAACACTGCTCTCCTCAGCGGCCCCTGAGTCGGTGTTTGGGTGGTATTTATACAAAGTGTGGCAACCTCAGGGCTGAGTTGGATGTCAGGGCAAATGGGCACAGGGCATTGTGAGGAAGGAGTGTGGGATTTCACCTGCCTTCAGACACGAAAAGGACTCATGTTTCTCAGTGACTACAGGAATCCTGGGTGGGAGGAGAACCACCTGCAGCCGGGGCTCTCCCTCAGGCAGCGGCACAAACCCGAGGATGCTGCTCCTTCCCAAAACACTGCGTGTTCCCTGCTTCCTGCCTGCTGCTCCTCGCAGAAGTAGCTGCTTATTTCACAAAAATTTTCCCTTTCAGTACTTGAAGGGAGAACTTACAGGAACGATAGGGCAAGACTATTTACAAGACCATGTAGTGACAGGACAAGAATCACAGAATCAATCAGGTTGGAAAAGACCTCTGAGTTCATTGAGTCCAACCTATGACCTAGCAACACCTTGTTAAGTAGACCATGGCACCAAGTGCCACATCCAGCCCTCCAGGGATGGTGACTCTTCCACCTCCCTGGGCAGCCCATTCCAATGTCCAATTATTCTCTCTAAAGAAATTCTTCCTAATGTCTAACCTAAACCTCCCCTGGCACAGCTTAAGAGTGTGCCCTCTTGTCCTAACAGAATCGCAGAAGACAAGGGGGAATGGCTTCAAATTGAGAGTAGGTTTAGATCAGATACTAGGAAGAGATTCTTTACTGAGGGTGAAGGTTGTGAGGCGCTGGCACAGGTTGCCCAGTGAAGTATTGAATGCCCCATCCCTGGAGGTGGTCAGGTTGGATGGGGCTCCGAGCGACCTCATCTAGCTGAAGGTTGCCCACGGCATGGGGGTTGGAACGAAGCAATCTTCAAGCTCCCGTTCCAACCCAAACCATTCCACGACTCTACGAAGAACGACCTTTCCCGGAGCCGCCCCTCCCGCTCCTTTTCACGTCTATTTTCCACTCTCGCTGTGGAGGCCGCCCCGGCCCCGCCCCTCAGGCGTCACGGCCCCGCCCCCGGCCCCGCCCGCCAATGGGCGCGCGAGCCGCCGCTGACGCGACGCGTGGCCCCGCCCCGCCCGCGGCCGGTTTCTGTTTCGCTCCGGGCCCGCCCGGGCGCTGTCGCCGCTGTCGCGATGGAGCCGCAGCCTGACAGCCTCGACGGGTGGGTGGCCGTGCGCGACACCGCCTTCGCCGAGCCCCAGCCGCCGCCGCGCCTCCGCTTCCTCGTGGGCTGGAACGGCGCGGAGGGCGCGTTCGCCGTGACCTGCCACGGCCGGGCGGAGGCGGCGGCGCAGGCCCCGCAGAGCTGGGCCGGGCTGTTCTCGGCGCCGGCCCTGCGCGGCGTCCACCGGCAGCTGTCGGCCCTGTGCCCGCGCCTCGAGCCCGCCTTCCCCGCGCTGCCCCCCGCGCTGCCCGGCGCGGCCGCGGGCGGGCTCTGGGCCGTGCTGTTCCCCGGCGGCGCCGCGCCGGGCGAGGCCGAGCTGCAGGAGCTGTGCCGGGCGCTGGAGCTGTACCTGGGCTGGGCCCTGGAGCTCTGCGGCGGCCGCGTGGTGCTGGACGCGCTGTTCGCCGCCGACCGCCGCTGCGACGATGAGTACTTCGAGAGCCTCCAGGAGCTGCGCGGGAGGGCCCTGCGCGGTCACCTGGCCCGGGCCAAGGAGGCCCTGCGGCGGGTACGGGCCCCGGGGCCGGGCGGGGCGGAGGGACCGGGGCTCGGGACTGTCCCCCAGGGGTGCGGGATGAGGGTGCTGCCGGGCCCCCCCTGCGCTCCCTAAAGGTCCCCACGCTGTAGGAGCACGTTTGCTGTTTGGTGCTGCAGGTCACCCTCGCTCGCCTGGGAGGTGCACGGTGAGCGTGGCAGCCGCTGCTGCGGCAGCTTCAGTCACTCGGGGCAAACTCTTTTGCAAGACTCCTGTGAGCAAGGGCGACCGAGCCGCTGATACCATCTTGCTCGTAGTGTTGTCCAATGTCCAGATTTGGCTTACACAACACTTTTTTTATTTGCCTGGGAGCCACCAAGTCAACTTTCTCAAGTACTAAGTGTCGTCAGCCTTGTAAGTGCAGCTTTATTAAGTGGGGAATAAGTCGGCTCCAGGTGGGCAGTCAATATAAGAACACTGGGGCGTTTGCTTAAGCTGTAAGCACTCCTACGAAAACACATTGCTAAAAACATCCAGCAGTGTTGTGCAATGTGTGGAAGAGTAACCGAAGAGGAGAGTACAATCATGTGCTAATTTTCTAAGTCAGGTTTATTTATTAAAACCAAACTTTGCCCTAGTTCTATGCCAAATAAGTGTATTGTAGTCAGAAAAATTGTGTTATTTTTTTAAAAGTGTCAAATTCTGCCCTAATGATTGATGAAATAATGATGTTAGCCCTTTCTTCATTTAGTACCTTAAGTTTTTTCTTGTTATAGATGTATTCCTGGATTTTTTTCCCCCCTTGTTGTAAGCATGAATTCAAAGGATGGTGTCTGGTAACACAGTTGCAGAATGTTAAAACAAGAGTTACAGATAAGTTCAAGCTCACCAGTGTGTTGCTGCTACAGTTTCCTTGTAGTTCCTGTTTCCAGTCCGTTTTCTGGCAAAGTGAGCTGAAAGGTATTTTATGAAAGTGATCATGCTTTGGAGGAAAGTTAAGACAGTTGACTTTAGCCTTCTGTTTCCTATTACAGTGTTTAACAGCTGTAACAACATTCCTGTTTCAGAAAGACACTGTTTTTAAAAAGACATCTTTAGTTTACATGAACGTGTACTGTGTTGTATACAAAAGTCAGTGTCTGTCACTGACTATAACAGTTCACAGCCCAGCTATACACACATTCCAGCCACCACACTCTTTTGCAAGCAGCACAAACATGTACAGCTGTGTAGCAGTTTGCGGCTTGAGGGTCAAGTACAACTTGGTGCCAGTTATTTTACTATTTCCAGCTACATTTTAGATATGGCTAAAGATGCTATAGAGTAGTGTTGTATTTGCAGGCCTAACAGGGACATAAGTTCATTATATTTCATTCTAGACCAAGTTATGCAAGATTCAAGAAATAGCCACTAACCCAGCCTTAGGTACCAGAGTATCCTTCTCCCCTCTTCGTATCCATGTCCTTCTCAAATACTTCATCCTTTGGGCCAGGAAATTAGTTTTAGAGAATATAAAAGATACTGGTACATGATGGAGGAGAGTAGTGTGGTGTAAATACTTCTTGTATTGTGTGTTCAAGGAAAAAAAACACAAGAACATTACTGTTGCAACCAAAGAAGTCAGTTGGGCTGATGGTGAACTGGAATTCTATTAAAAG